TTTATTGTATTTAAAAAGATATTTTATCTAAAAACATATATGTATGAAAATGGTAAAGACATTTTCTAACAATAATTATCAGAAAAGTTTTATTGGATATTATAGTAATTTCAATAGTTGAGATCATGAGTCAATTGATGCTAGACCACCATAGAAAACCTGGAAGTACCGGACGGTCGTTTCGTCCTAGTATGGGACTCCTCAGCAGCGCGCATCCACGACTGGCTTCAAGAGGTATATCCTGGAGTTCTAGTGAGAAGCAATCACCACTGGAGTTCAACAGGGTCTGTTGTAAGATAGTAACTCACGGATGACAATGGTGGATGTGTCGCTCAATTTTGTGGATTAGTTGAAGTTAGTCATCAACACCGTTGGATGCTGGCTCATTGGTCTAATGGTTGGGTGCTCGCGCTCGATACCAGTAGGCCCTGGGTTCGAATCCCACGAGACGGGATCGTGGATGCGCACTGCTGAGGAGTCCCACAATAGGACGGAAGGGCTGTCCAGTGCTTCCAGGTTTTCCATGGTGATCTAGCTTCAAATGACTCATGATTTGAACTATTGAAATTAATGATAATTAACTCAAAAGAGTGAATCCTTTATAATGTGTACCAAGAGCTAACTAAATTTAGTCTATTTTTCGTTTAATTAACATTTTTTTAAAAAGAATTATGAAATTCATTAAACAATAATTAAGTTTGAAATTAGTTCACTATTATGTTTGTTGTCTATTCAAAAACATGTTTTCAACTATATTAGTATGAACTTCATAGACAGAATAATAATGATTACATAGAAACACGAAGTTAGAACAATCTTTTCACTTTCCTTAATTCTCGTTTGCATATATTTTATTTTTACCTCACAACTTTAACTTGATTACTGTCAGTTATTTTTGTTCATTACACCTATCAATCAAATGTTCTGAAAAAAACATCGGATTATTTTATCGTTGCATTGGCACTACTACTTCTGTAGTGAACTAGAAAACAAGTGGGGATAATCGAATGTATTTGAATACAAAATTACAGAATCTCAGTAAAATCTGAGAAACATATAGTAAGTTCTTTATTTGCAAAATGTCAATCAATTGTTTCAAACTTGACTATTCCTTCTACAAAATATCAATCAGTCATCTCAGACTTCATTGTTCTTTCATTTCCACACCAATCATTCTCTGTTCTCGTTCTCTTTTCTTTGATCTTCTTAATCTTCTTCCACAAGGCATTTCACTTTCGATTGATGATACATACTATTCATATCTATTGACGTCAGTAGCACACACCACATATACGCTAGGTAGTTTAATTGCATACATATATATTCAGGAACATTTGTATTCTGGTTCTTATTTGATTCATTTGTTCTCGGTCGTCAAGTATACAGATAATGAATATTGTAACTCCACAATAAAGTATTTTGTTAACTGTCCAATCTTCCACGTCAGTAATTCTGTCCATTTTCACATACTCATGGCGATTGTCAATCTACAAGTAAAAACTCAGAAACCTAGGTCCTTTCAGAGGTATAAAGTGGAAAGTTTCCAAAATAGTTAATCGTAACATTCTCAGTGTCCGATATGAAGATTCCATTTGCACACTAAGATATAAAAGGAAACCGCAATTTTTGACACGTTGGTAGTGTTCATGTGGTCAAGGTCAAACAGTTAAAAAAGAACCGAAATATTTCAATGTAAAGTGTTCAGATTTTTCCGCTTCGGTCAGTTCAAATCCCATACTATCAAATCCTCATAACAGTCAAACTAGAATTTGTCATGTTTGTTGCCTACCAAGTTTTAAAGTTAAACAGTTACACTCACAAAAAACGTATGTAAATGTACGATTAAACTGAGTGACATTTCTTGCATAGTCATAAGTAACTGGCAGTCCGTCGGCTCAACCATCTGATGCTTCAACAAAATCTGCTTCCTAGTCTAAACTCCATCTGATGAGTAGTGATATTGGGTCAATATACTCAAATCTCTCTCGGTTTGATAATTTGCTCATATTTGTGTTTCTTCCGCCTGATTTTCACCATTAGAATCGCTTTAGCTGAAATCAATGTAAATTCATATGTACACATAAAACTTATTTATTTTTAGAACAAACTATGTACACATTTGTCTTCTAATTCGAAAAAGGTCAAGATAAATCATAACAAATTGGAATTAAATAGTAAGACAGGAGTTACATGATCTTTTCTAAGGGGCTGTTATTGGGTACCTTGTTCTAATGAATTCCGGAAAATTAAAGGACTGATCGAATGTTGAGTATTGTTCTAATTGCCAAAAACAGACATAAACAGTAGACTTTGTCAATTAAATCACAGATTTCATCACTTCATTTTTCCTTAATTACATTTAATTTCCCTATGTGTCTGAAAAGAAACCAGTTTATTAAGCCTAGTACAAACAAATGTCATACTATTTAATATGTAGAGGAAAATTGTGATTAACCAGTAAAGAGGTCATTTAATAAAGATGGTTCATTTAAAATTCATCTGATCGGAGTGACTGAATTCTTCATTCTGCACACGTACTTTTACTGTCATTCACTCTGTTTTATTCGTTTTCCGACTCTCTTTTCTTTTATTCTTATCTTTAAGTTTTGTGGATTCTTGTGCTCCCGTAGACGAATATATTATGCCATTCAAATAAAAAAATAAGTTTGTGAAGAAAATCAGGACAAACTTATTTCGTAATTAGTTTTTGATACTATTTGCATTTATTTTGTTAATTCTCATAATTTGTACATTTACTACAAATGATTGTAAAGGTTCTTTAAAATTGCATGACAATGAACTGTGTGTATTAATTATGAGGTAGTGCATGAAATTGACTTCCAGAACATCAAGAATTCCACTAAATAATTTAGTTATCTTAATGCGCACTCAAGGTCATTCAGATAACAATTCAATCAGGACTAGCAAAGCAGGTCACAGAGTTGAGCACAAGTTTGGTAAATGTTTGTTCTGTGGCAAGTTTCACGCAGGTAATTCATGCGTATTTCGTCTTGCTAAATGCTTTCTTAGTGGCACAATTGGACATATTCAGTCAGCCTGTAAATCTGCTGTTCATTTCGCTACAAGTAATACTAAACTTCGTAATTCCGATCCTATTAATTTGGGTGATTCTAATAATTATATTGATATGATGGGAAGAAAAGTCAATATTCGATTGATTTACTCAATATGAGTTTTATTCATCATCACATCCGTTTTCATTCAATGTAATAATTACGCAACGTAGTATTTGTTTTCTTTTCTCGTATGATATTTTATTCTGTATAATATACAGTATTCTTGTATTTCATTGACTATGAACTATACTCAGCATATGATTTGTTATAACTGTGAGTATTTTTTATGTATGTGAGTTCATTCTAATTATTAATCAAAATGGGTGTACAATCAATATATAAACGAGTATATTTTCTACTAAACTCTCTCGTTTCTGGTTGTTGCAGAATATACTTCTCATTTCAAGCTTAAACTTCTCCCTGTAGATAGCTGGGGCTGGGACGCATCAATAGCTAGCTTACTGGTCCTTGGTCACCGAGTCTCGTTCTCGTTGGCAGATTTAAGTGAATGAGTGATAGCTTCAACCTAACATATATACTATCCTTATTTACAACTTCCAGTAATTCACTTCACATATGAAAACGATCATATCTGTCGATCGGTGCTTTTCATGATTTTACTTTTGGCACTGGAAGTTTCAAGTCCATCATTTTATTTTGGAAGTTTAAGTCTTTAAATCCTGACACTTTACTTATACCTACCAAAGTTTCCATTTCGAGTATTACAGGTCATAAGCTTTCTACTCTTGGATGTTGTAATTTGTTATTCAGAGATGTTAAGTCTCAGACTGTGTATATCTCATCACTGATTGTAGACCGTCTATACTGGGTCTAGAAAATTTAAGAATGCTTTAGCGACAGCTTTTTTTATTGACCACTGGAAATAGTTATAATGAAGTGCTTAATAATTTGCTATGAAATCGGAGTGTGAAAATTAAGCATGACTACATTCAATGCACAGTCGGACAAACACATGATGAAACTAAGGTGGGTAAGTACAATTGATTGCATGATTTTGGATTTTCATTTAAGCTGTGGTATTTGTACGAAATAATGTTTCGATTGTACTTGATTACGCGCTAATTACTAACTCCAGACACAATACGTTCGTTTTTGCTTATCTGTTCCTACTTTCTGCAAACTTAAAAATTTACGTAATTCACAGTTAGTACAATAATTCAGATACCTCCAATCGTCTCAAACGGATACTTAGCGACAGAACTCTAGTGTCAATTTACAACAACCAAGGTCAGTTCTAGACGTTAACGCATAGTCACTTATTATGCTCAGGAAACCTTATCCTCTCGATGTCGAGACAACGAGGACGTCTTCCTCCTCAATATTAACAAGCAAACCTTTTGTGGCTAGGTTTCGATATCAATGGACTAAACAATATTTCTTATTCCCGCACACACACACACACGAAATAGATGCGAAAAGGATAGATTTACAAATGCGCGTATTAGGTTTGCTTGTACTGCAGCCTTCCCCACCCGAAAATGGTTTAAGGGAGTAGCAATGAATGCCAAACGGGGAGATGGTCCAGTTAGGCGGGCAGATATTAAAACGAAAAAGGGCTTAGTTACAAGAGACATAAGATCTGTCTTTTGAGAGTAGTGATCGACAAATGAAATACAGAATGACTATTCAGGGTGATTGCAGTAAGATTAATCGCACTAATTTCATTCCTAGGAGTCTACACGTAAAATACTTGACTAGCTAGAGTAAGTAAAGGCATGTTGTCTTTGGGGGGGTAGTTTTATCTGTGTTCTTTACTTTCATTCTCCTCCTATTTAACGTCTTGCGGATTAACTTATACTTATTATTATTGTTCAGTAACCGTTTTCTTCCTAATAATCTTCGAGCATATATTATAATGCATTGGTGTTCTACTGTATTCCTGAGTATGCATATAAACTAGGAATGTCTACTTTGTTTGTTACTGTGATTAGACACTATGATGTTAACAAGGTAAGCAAAGAAGCCATTACAAACAATTTAAGTTGGTTTTGGGAACGTTATTTCACTTTATTCAAAGTTTGTAAGATACTAACATTGGTTTTGTCCTCACGTTATTCTGTAAACCATAGGCTTTTGTTTGGTGCAAAAGTTACTGCCATACCCTCTTCTCTCCTGAAGCAATTGTAGATTTTGTAAGTTGTATTCATTTTCTGTCCAAATACCTGGTTTGGACACATTCGTAATTTTTTAGTTGTTTGTGAGCTGTGGAGTGCGTTGTGTTGGTCATCTATTTATTCATGTATCTTTTCACGTTAATCTGAAGTTAGAATAGGAATCGAGAACAAATTGAGTAGAGTCCCAGTTGACTTGTCTTTTTACTTGCTTATCAATCAGCCAGGTGATAGGATAGTTTTTGTCTCTCTGCCAAGATCTTTAGTCTCAAATTGGACTAACACATTTCTAGCTTAAAGGTTGAGCCAGTTAGCCTATCGTGTCAAGGCCTCAACTTAGATTGAAGCAAGTACTCTCCTGTATATTATTGTGTAGGTAGTTCTATAACTTAAGAGTTACCTATCATAATTCATTCTGACCGAGTCAAATTCAGACTAGACGGGTATACATAGTTTCGCGAAGTCGTAACCTCTTCGCAAAAAAATATTGCATGTTCGTTTTGTGGATAGTTTAAGATTCCGGAGTGACATGAACGTCAAATCAGAGAAGTCTCTAAACGAATAACAAAAATGTGAGGTTGAACTCGATGTAATCAAGCTTCTGGATCTCATACTTTAGATTTATTAGGACATACCATGAGTTCAGACACGTCAATATAAAACAAGATAGAGCATGTAGCTGCAAACATTTCTCAAACTGAAACTGGCAGTAAGCAGTCGAGACTGATAATCACCACGTTAGCTTTACAAGATAGGATATGTTCCAGTGGATCTGTTACGCATGAATCTCAATCCCAAGCTCCCAATTTTGGGGAAATTTTGGGGAGCTTTGGGGATCACCAATACCTCCAAGCAGGAACCTAGATATATTAACGATAAAAGAGAAAAAAAGAAATCGGTAAATCATAGTAAGATATTATCCTTAGTCTTTAAGAATAGATCCTGGGATTTCGCTTGAACTAGCTCAGCCGGCAGCGAATTCCAGCATTTGACAACTCTTAAGGAGTAGAAATTGTGCCTGCAGTCCGTTCTGCTATGTTTTACCTCCAATTTCTGGATGTTCGTATTGGGACTAAGCCTAAGTAGGTGTTTAAATGGATGTCCAGAAGTATTAAGGATACTGTAAACCATCAGAAGGTCACCTCTAAGACGCCTATACTCTAAAGGTAAAGGTTAAGTGATTGGAGACGCTCTCCATAAGGTTTAAATTTGAGTCCCCGAACTGATTTCGTGGCTCGCCGTTGGGTACGTTCCAGAGTCTCCTTATCCTTATGGGTTGTAGGAGGAAATACTATGTTACCGTACTCTAAATGGGGACGAATAAAACCGTTGAAGATTATGTGGAAAGTTCTCCCGTCAAACTGACCAAAAATGCGCTTCAATGTTACAAGTGTAGGGTTTGCTCAAAAGGCATTTTTGTCACAGTCAGCATAAGACTTCGAACCGAAGGGTACCAGGACTCCTAAATCTCCTTCGACTCGGGATACTACTAGAGAGGAGTTTCCTAAGTTGTAACTGTAGTCTGCGACATGTCGCAGATGGACTACTTTACACTTTGAAGTGTTAAAAGTAAGTCCGTAATCGTCTGATCAACTTTGAATTCGAGTCAGATCCTTCTGAAATTCCTGTATATCCTCTTGGTTGCACATTTCTCTCCAAAGCTTCACGTGATCGGAGAAAAGTAATAAGTCTGACGATACCTGTTAAAAAAAATCATTAATATAAATCAAGAAGAGAAGGGGTCCTAGTACTGAGCCCTGGGGGACCCCACCAGGACATTCCATAGCCTGAGAGAACGTGAAGTTAAACCTGACCTTAAAGTGTCGATTTTTCAGATATGAAATGAGCCAATCAATTAGAGGTGGTCTGATACTCAATTGTCTAAGCTTATTGATAAGACATGTATGGTTAACCCTATCATAAGCTTTTGAGAAGTCAAGATAAAAGATATCAACCTTCCCCTTGCGATCAAGGATGCCTGTCCATCTGTCCACCGCAGTCAGCAGGTTAGTCATACAGAAGTAACCCTTCCTGAAACCATGCTGCTGGGGTGAGAAAAAATTCATGGACAGTAAATAGTCATGTATACCATCGTGTATCAGAGACTCCATGATTTTTGAAGGTATATAGAGAACCATCGGTCGGTAAGTTGAAGGTTCGCTGCGTCGACCTCCTTTGAAAGTTGGTGTGATATGAGCTAGCTTTTAATTTTCCGGCAGTTTGCCTCGACTTAGCGAGTGTGAGAACATCACGCTAAGCGGTGTTGCCAGGATTGAAGCTGCTTCCCTCGGTATAGCAGAATGGACCATATCTGGGCCAGGATTAGTGTCTGTTCTCAGATGCTGCAGCTTTCGGAACACCAATTCAGAGCTCGGGTTCACTACGGAAAGTCCTGTGCAGTTGCAGATCAAGCTGTCATCAGTATGGTTGATGTGAGTCGGTTGAAATGTCCGGGAGTATTGCTCAGCCAGAAGGCTTGCGGCGTCGCCGTCGTTATTGGTCGGGCCATTAAGGCCTAGCAGTTGGAAAACTCCAGTTTTGATTTGATGAAGAGAGGCAGCATAACGGAATGAGCTTTTCGGATTAGAGACAAATTTATCCATAAGCTTTATTTTGTACTGAAGCCTGTCTTCTCTTATAGCCTTCGTGCATATGTTCCATATCCGTTTGTATTGCTTGTACGCGCCGTTGTTGTTGGTTCGTTTGTATTCTGCATAACAGTGTCTTTTGCGATTGTAGGTTGCTTATAGCTTTTGGGGACCGTTTGAGGAACTGACTACTTTGTAGCACATAAAAGCGTGTGAAGTAAGAAGTCCCAATGAGAATCCACATCAAGTTGAGGGTGAACATCCCAATCCATCTGTTGTAGATAGTCCTGTAGAGCAGACACATTCAACCGTTTGAAATTCCAGCGCCTGTTGTTGTTGGGATATCTTAGCTCAGTTTTGCTGACAAAACTGAAGGCTATAACTGCGTGATCGCTTTTCCTCAGGGGAGCCAGAATTGAGAGGTTGTGGACTAGAAATTCTTCATTTGTAAATACCCAGTCTAAGCGCGACGGTGTCTGACTGTTCCTCTAACGAGTAGACAACTTCACATTTTCGTGTAGTCCCAAATTCTCAATGAGGTTGAAGAACCGAGCTTCAATTGAATTTTCACCTCCAATATACGTGTGTTCCACGAAGTCGTCTCTAGGGAGATTGAAGTCCCCTAGAATCAGGATATGAGTGAAACCGAGACGCGTAGAGCGGTATAGTCCTTCCAGCATACGACTGCCATACTCGATGTCGGCAGTGGGCTTCCTATATATGACTCCGACTAGGCACCTCGAAGTAGTGGACAATCTCACAGAGCACCACATAGATTCCTCAAGATTGTCAAACTCATGGTTGTGAACTTGGTGTACCTCCAAGCCAGATCGTATGTATAGGGCTACTCCACCCCCAATTCCTGTTTTTCTATCGTTGCGAAACAGAGACATCCCAGGTATTGGTAGCTCCTGGTCCGAAAAGTGAGGAGATATCAAAGTTTCAGATATTCCTATCAGATGAACCTTATTAGCGTTGCTAAGTTCACTTTGTTCATTCATTTTATTTGATAGACTCGCGGCGTTCATGTATAAGCAGTTAATGCTTTCGGTTTGAAACGCGTGAGCTTCTTCCTGTTTGTCTGTATGAGCCTTACGTGAGTGGACAGGTAACCCACCTATATAAGTTTTGTCGAATTGGTAGGTTCTGTCCTTTACACGTTTTTTTATCTTCAGGACAGTCCACAAGTGGAATGGTCAGCTCCAGCTTGCCTTTGTGCTTGATCCTGGCGTCGAATAGCCTGTCCGGGTGCATGTGGATCCCAGTTGGCAACCGACGTCTGTTGACACGAAATGCTTCAAGAGCTGCAGCCGCCATATGGAAGGATGGGAAAGTAATCCTCATTGGTTGGGGTCTAGAATCACTGTTCCTCTTGGCTAGTCTCGCCACATGTTAAGTCAGTATGATTTTGAGCCTCAAGGACTGTTTGATGAATGTCCATTCCCGAATGTCAGAGTTTGCTTGACTAGGGTCCATGTTTTCCGGTACACCTTGCACGATTATATTTCTTCCGCGGAAAAACTTCTCTCGAGAATCTTTAGGGGTGTTTCGGATGAGAATACGGTATGTCGGGCAGTATTCTGACGTTCCCATCGGATTTTAGTAAATGACTAGATAGAAGGACATCACCTACGTCGGTAGCATTCTTAAGTGTTACACGAAGTAGCCTCAGGTGATTTTGATGCTTAGATTTCTTTCCCTGAGTGAGCCGTGTGACCGTCAAAAGCTATATTCTAAGAAGTCTAAGCTTTTTATTCAATTCACCCCAGAGCATTTTGTCAATTTTGTCCTGCAAACTGAGAAGAAGGTCAGGGTTGTCTTTGAAGTTCATGATTATGAGAAAGTCATTACGAACCGTCATTGTTTTCCCAGGTTTTCTGGTGCGTTCAGGTTCAACACGCTGTTTGGAGATCGAAGCATGTTTCTGATTCCTGGGCAATTTGATGACCGGGTGGACATTCTTGGGGGTAGACTGTGCGATCAAATCACCAATTGATTCCCGTACAACACTTGGAACGTTCAGCTTAGACAGTGACGCCTGATCCTTTTTAACTCTATTAACGTGGGTCCAATCACCTGCGGAGTTTTTGGGAACCACTGTTGCGTTTAAGGACCCTGTGCTGGGAGATCCAAGTTTAGTAAGGGAGTCTATTACCGTCGACCTAATGATGGTGCTGAGTTTCAACATGTCATGCATGCTCCATCTATGGTAGACCTACCGACATCCCTATTCTTGTTTTCGTTACGTACCCTTGTTTGTCTACCTGTTTTATGACTGTCTTTTTGCAAGTTTGCTGACAACTTATTCCACAGACCTGTCAATAGGACAGTGATGTTACTCAGCAAAACTACAGCATCCGTGCTGCATGTAACACATAACTGCTTATGATCTGACTTGCTGAATCTGTTATAAACAGTCGCTGTGAGATCTGTTCACGCTTCATGGAACCAACCTTTGCAGTTGTCGCACTGCATGCCAGATGTAACAGCAAAACGGCATCCAGGTCGTTTGCATGAATTTTTCATGACTGTATTGACGTAAACTGTATTATAGATGCTAGTAAGACCGTTAAAAATGCACTAAAAAGCACACTCAAAGCGCGGAAAATGCATAAAACGGATGATATGAACTGAACTAACCTTTACGTGAAAAATTGAGACAAACCGAACAGTAAGCTGAGGCAAAACCACAGTTAACTATTAAATTAGGCGAAACTCGAAAAAAAGGTAATTTACCAAACGTATAGCTCAGAGTAGATTCTTTGGATCAGAAATGGTGCTTTTATTGCGTAAGAATACAGCAAAAGTTTGAGAAATGCAAACCACGTTAGGACCAAACTTCCCATTCGAAAAAAATCAAATAATTACTCAAAAATCAAAATCCAGGACTGTGTAGATTATGTAAAAAGCACCGAAAAAATATTATATGATATAGATAACTGCGAGTATAGAAATAGTGTTAAAGCTGATCTCAACCATAAACGTATTGTTTTAATACCTAACGAAACTGGCGGCAGAGTCCATCTAGTTTCAATTCCCTTGTAAGTAGATACAAATTCCGATTGTGGCTCTGTAGTGCGGGCCTGTTTTACTTGTAGAGGTCTTCTATTTCATCTTCAGTGTTTTTCTCTTAGGTTTGGTTTGGGATCAAAGTTATTCGCCCTTTAATATCAACATTCTGGACAAAGCTGGAAGGACTGCTTGCTTAGAGACAGCCGGTCGGAATAACAAGTCTTCAGATAGTTACTTTATCTCTAATAAATCAGAAATTTTACGTGAGCCTCACACATTGAGATGGACCGCTGGCGTCACGCTGGCTTCAAAATCAAGCCATACCGATTCTATTCGTAAGGAGGTTCTGTTGTAAGTTTGCTCTGTTTGAATAATTTCGAATTAGCATTCTTAATAAGCTTACTGCTGAAAATTTCGAACAACAGGGTGATAAACTTCTTAGCTTAGATATCACTTCAGCTTCCCTTCATGTCATTGCTCAATTAGTAAGCTTATTGTCAACACTTATTATTTTAGATTTATCAAAAAGCCATCAATGAACCAAAATTTACCTCTTTGTACGCCCAATTGTGTTTAAAATTATGCAGTAGTGTCCCTAATTTTGAGTCAGGGGGTTCTCAATCGGTAAAAAATTAAATTGTTAACCTCCCATCAGACTTTTCAGATATTCTTAATTAAGTGTTGTGAAGATGAGTTCAAGGCCAGAGATGTTTGTGACGATCAGATCTCACGTCAGAAGTGCTTGGGGAATCTACGCTTCATTGCTGAACTTGGGATTTGTGGTGTTATGTCCGAAAAAGTTCTTCATAATTGTGTTCAAGAACTTCTTTCCAGGAAAGGTCAACTTAGTTCAGTCAACGATTCGGAGGTACATACATATGCGCAGGAAAAAAACAGAACAGGTGAGTTAACTTTTTATAGTAAGGAGCGGTATTCTCGTAGCTATCTGGTTAGGTCAAGTAGAAAGTCTTGTTCATTATATCACTGAATCGAGGTATGAAATGTCAATTTAATTGGTTCAGACATATGCATATCTTTCTTGTCAGCTGCTGCTCTAGGCTTGATACAAAAGCCTGCAAGCGCTTACTAACTTCCCGTCGATCTGATTTTAAAGCATCAGGCTTAAACCGTTGTTTACCCGTTCGCTTAGTACTTTGAAGCTACCTGTTTATTTCTAGGTAGGTAACCTCGATTGCTGTCCACATAAGAGGAACCAATAGAAATTACTGTCATTTTGCGACATATCCACTTGTTATTCAAGACATCAGAACAGTCTTCTGAGCAGGTTAATGGGCACCTATTTTAAGTTGATTTGTGGATGACTTCCCCTAGATTTGATGCTCTTATGAGACAGGGATTCATTCCCCTATTCTTCAGTTTAGTGGAGGTGGAACAATTAATCTTTCTCAGTAGAATTATGAGAAGTGGCATCAAAGCCTTCCGTCCCCGAGCTGGATATCTTTGGTTATGATTAATCCCTACATTAAATCTAGCTCGTTCATTTTTGTTGAGATCCATGGATATCCAGTGGAATTTGAATTAAATTGGCAGGTTTCAGATCGCCCACTTTAGTGGACAGGTAAGTATTTATCCGTGAGTTGATCCAGATCATCAGTTGGACACTACTAGCGAAGCACCGGCCTAGTGGCTAAATCACTTGAATTTTAATCAGTATCATATGTTCAGACTCCATATTGCTTTAAGAGATCAGGTTATACCACTAACCCTTACAGTACACATTAAATACAGGCGTACTCAGTAAATGAGTTATATCATTGCTATAATGTTGTATTGGTCATTGTCTTATTTTAGTTTCCACTAATTTAACCCTCATTATAAGTTTTTATGCAGTTGTGTAAATTTTTTGCAGCCCATACAATTCGGGAGCGCTCTTTGTCCGCCGATTTGGAATGTCTTTGTCAGTTCTTGACTGCTGTTGGGAAGCACATGGACACACCGAAAGCAAAAAACTTGATGGATCAATATTTTCATCGATTGCGTCGTATATTATCACGCGCTTACGATTCAAATGGATTAACATCCAACAAACATGAAAATGTATCTACGGAAGGAAAAACCTTTAAGTCGTCTTCGAAGCCGAATGATAACTGTATCTTATCTTCTAGAGTGCGGTTCATGGTTGAAGATTTGATAGACTTAAGGGAAAACAATTGGATTCCACGTCGAGCTGGTCAGCGCACAGAAACAAACAAGCCACGTTTCCTTCGAGATATTCGTTTGGAAATATTAAAAGTAAAATTTTGCCGGATGTTTCGTGTTAACGTGAATTTTACTTTTAAAAATCTACATGAATCAAAATCTTTTATACTGGTCATCACATCTAATTCTTGTTAAATTTTGTAGTGGTTCTATCAGTTTTGTTAGTATCAATACTCCACATAAAAATAAAAACACAAAGAGGGACGAAGTAAAAATTCATGACATTCGGATTTACTAGTTTGTTAAATTCACTTCATTGAGGATCCAGCAAATAACTTGGAATTGTCTAAAGCCTGTTAAGAATAAGGTATATGCAGTCCACGTTTTTTAATTTCTGAGTTACAATAAGCAAAACGTTATATGTAATTTATTTACAGGCCACATTATTTTTTCAAACGATGAAGTTGCTTGGAATTGTCTAAGTACAAAGAAAAAAACATTTCTGCTACCCGATTGATTCGCGTTACTTGATAGAGGGAGGTAAATGCTTCTTTGTACTGAAGTTAATGAGGATGCAAATAAAAACAATACAGCTGTTTTACGGCTAATAATTCATTGGTTCTCAATTATCATGGATTGCATTACATTTGAGCAACATAACGAACTAGTTTTATTTCCTTCTAAAAGACCACTAATTATTCTAAAAACTAAATTCTTCTGTTTTTTATTTCTGCCTAGATTGTTTTTAATGCCGCTTTACATTTTAGGAATCTGGAGTCCTTGTTGCCCCAACTCCAAGTGAGCGCTCTGTCACACAGCCAGATGTACCTGGGAGTGCTTTTATGGGTCACTCATCAGCTTCAAGTAACTCATCAGTGAATGGCGAATTTCCATTCGTCAGTGGTCTGAGCTCTAGTTCATCGAAAAATAATAATGGACTTAATACTGGTGAAGCTAAAAGTTGGATGGAGTTGGCGCGAATGGGTGAAGAACTCTGTCGTCAAAGTCCTCGTGATTTCTGTTTGTTGGATAACAGAAATCGTATTGGGGAGAGCCCCATTAGTCAATTTCACGGACGTCCACAGGCTGGTGTTGCCACAGCTAATCGGCGCTTTTTGTCTAACAAAAATGATTTTTCCCATTCAAACAATATTCCTCATCAAGGCTCTAAACCAAATAACACTGACAGCTGGACCAAAAGAACGGAGAAAAATGAAGTCAGTAGCGATGTAGGGTGGGTACGTGGTGTCAACCCAAAACTACGGAACTCCGTTATTACTCTGAGTAACGGCATATCAACAACTAATTCTAATTTACCTCCTCGAATGCTCAGAAAACTGGCTGCGGAAGCTGCTGGGAATTTACAAAATAACTCTACATCAAACGTTTTTAACGAAACGAAGCAGCCTGTCCATTCAGAAGTACAGACCTTCCATGCAAAATCCACTTCTGATAATATGACATCCATTTCCAAAAACAGTACATCCTGCACCACGTCTTTTATCCATCTCATTGGACAAGTCAGTTCCTCTGATCCTTTTGAGGTAAATCTCTTAAATCGTTTTTGGAAGTGGTTCCGTCTTATTCAGAATCTTACTGTAGTCTAAGGATTCAACTCTTCATTCTGTTCCATTGGTTCAAATAATGGGCATTAGTGTTTAGTATCTCAGGTTTACTATACTTTCCTATTTTTGTTTTTGGTGTTATTGCTTCATTTACGTATCATTTTAACATCAAGATATTTGTGGGTTAGTATATTTGATCAAAAAGTTTATGAAATAAGAACTAAAAAACCTGAATGTCCCAATCAGTCACCATTTATGAGCACCTCGCTGAGTTTGGTTTTGTGAACTTTGTCAAAAAATAACTACGTAAAACCGACAAGAGGCGTTTGTTACTGTAGTAAAAACACGTTTCAAATCTCAATCAACTGAAAACACTAGTCTAAGTTACGTGAAACTTCACTTTCCTGACTACAAGCGTAGTCGCTGGCGGTCCAGTATTATAGGCGAGATTGACTGAGGTCTTAGGTGGAACCTGGGAACTGGACTCAATCCCATCTGATTGGTCTCAATCACTGATCGAGCCAGTTTATAAGAAAGGACAAAATTCCTCTTGTGACAATCACAGAGGAATCAGTTTGACTAATATAGTGTCTAAAATATTAGCTTCAATAATACTTCGACGTCGAACTAAAGCCCGTGAAGAGCAAACTAGAGAAAACCAGGCTGGTTTCCGACCTGAACGAGGTTGTATAGACAAGATATTCACACTACGTCAGGTCCTAGAACATTCACACATTCAGACGCCCCATAATCGTAGCAGCATTTGACTCTGTTGATCGTGAGGTTCTGTGGCAGTGTTTGTCACTGAAAGGAGTACCAAAGAAGTACATTAACTTTATAAAGGCTCTCTACTCGAACACAACTGGTCGAGTGAGAGCTTATGGTGAACTGTCATCAGAATTGATTACCTCAAGTGGTGTTCGTCAGGGCTTTCCACTCTCTCCATTCTTGTTTAACTTTGTCGTTGACGTCCTTTTAGAGATGACACTTTCCTCATCCAAATTTCCAGGAGTTGAACTTCTACCGGGAGATTCACTTGTTGACTTAGAATATGCCGATGACATAGTTCTATTTAGTGAAGACGCTGACAGAATGCAGAGTCTGCTGACCGCTCTAAGCAACAATGCAAGCATGCTGGGGATGCGATTCTCCCCCTCGAAATACAAAATGCTGCTTCAGGATTGGGTTGCACAGTAAACACGTCCTTTGGTTAATAGATGGATATCTTGCCTATGCCATAAATGACGCAAGTTGGCAAAGGCTAGTCGAGCCTTCTGTATACGTGCTGAGATTTCGTCACACACCAGACCACAAGGGCTGATGAGACTGGATTCTCCTTGTCTCTTTTTTCTCTTTCCAAATTTATTTCACTGGATTATACTCCTTGAATCACATCTTCAAACCCTGATCTTTCCGATTACTGCTTATACTCTTACTATCTCTACCACTACGGGATTTGAATAGACAACTGCACCTCTGTGCTAATGTAGTATGACAACTCGAACTGTTGACGTGCGTACGAAGTTCTACGTTATTACTGACTGACAAACTTAGTCTAGTTCCTAGTATGTGTATGCAAACTGTAAGTTAAATATTGACACTACATTACTGACCCACTTTTTACATTTCTAGTGTGTTTACTCTGATAATACACGAATATAGTATTCTAATTAGTGACATTCAGTAATGATATCAGTTTATCTCTGTTTGGTTTTGCACTTGGGTTGTTGTCCTGACCCATTTATTAAGCAAGTATAATTGACCTTCATTTGTTTGTTTTTTTCCGAAGCCTGCATACCTGCAAAAAGAAAGGTTATCGGTCAGTAGTGGAGATGAAGTCAGTACCCAAAAACTTGTTTGGTCTTATCCTAAATGTGTTCTTAACACGGCGATTTATGGTAGTTCAAATCCAACTCTTCCTTTTAAACCACAATCTTCTATTTCACGTCCTCCACACTTAATAAACAAACCGAATTTCCCGGATATTCAAACATCAGCAGTTCAGAAACCATGTAATCGTAAAGTTGACCAGGCTAGGTCATCTAATTCGAACAACATGGTCCAGTCACCAAATAATTTTGCTGAAAACAATTACAATACCACACACGCTGTTGATGAAAACATGAAAATCGCCCTTAGATTAGTAAGTTTTTGTAGTCATTTTTTATTATGTCAACCTGCAAGATTTAAATATTACATCTGTAGTCTTATTTGCGAATGCCATCGGCTTATACAATTTCGGACAATCAAAACCAACTCTTAATCTTCAATGGAAGGGTTAGATATTGTCGGGCCTGAGGTCTATGAGAAGGATTGAGTTAGATAGCTGAACGATCGTTCCAAGACTGGGTTTCATTTGACAGCTACTTTTGCAGTGTCTGAGTGGATAGCACTTTAAAAATATGGAATGATTGATGTTATCAAATAAGGTTTTAATAATATGAGTTTTGGATTGTTAGAACGAAGAATGTGGACCAGTAAATGAAATGTAATAACGTGATATTGCTGAGTGCTAAGCACTTACAAGAACGAATTATTTAACTATGTTCCCAGTTGTATAGATATCAGGAAACATGAGCACTAACCAAAAAACTTTATTAAACTAAAAAACATACAAACTATTAACAAAACATTACTCACCCTTCAGTCAGTTAAAACATGACTATCAGGGGTAATTCTTGCCCATCATATCAGTTATACGTAGTTTTGGTTTATACTGTCATTGAACGAAACCGGAAGCTATTTTCCCTATTTTGTAAAATCAAACACTCAGACGTTGTAACTTAAGTAGGTGATTTCAATGTTCATCATTCTGAAAGATAGACATTTATTTATTTAAACCATACTTTCATATAGCGAAGTTCTTATATATATATATATATATATATATATATATATATATATATATATATATATATATATATATATGCTGCTACTCAGCTGCCCAAGCGGAAGTAGGATTATTGGGGCGTAAACCTAAAATTTATTGACTGAAAGTCGAACTCTTTAACCATCAAGCTCATCATGATGCTGATCACGTCATCATGATACCAAATGTATTAACAGAAATAAATTTGATTGCTTCTCACGAAACTGTTTTAATTTACAGCTCACTTTATTGGGAGATTCTCGTGATCCTGTCCTGGTTAAAAATCAGTTAAATTCATCGGATTTCAGTCGAATAACAACCGAAGTTCTTGCCGTTGCTGTTTTACATTTATGTGAAGAGGGTGAGACTAGTTGCTTTATTTTTACTTCCTAAGTTATCTGTCCAAGTTTCAGTTGTGTCCATTAAATTAATCCATTGAAGACTGTGTCATTCATACATTTGTTTCATATTACCCTTTATGCCTAAAAGTGGAGTGTATACACAATGAAAAATACATATTAAGGCCTATACTTGGGAACATGAATTAAAACACAATTATATGAACGAAGAATATTTCTTTCAATAATTTCTCATCAGGTTCTACAATTATAAATCCAAACTAATAATCCTTAAAATTGACCAAGTTTAAGGCAGAGTACATCATCTAAAATTGTAACATGTGAATCAAGGACTGTTTGTCATATAAAACTAAATGAGGTCGTTAATGTTGGGATTACTAATATGAGGTGTTAACTTGAATCAGTTGTGAGATAAATGATCAGAATAAATATGGTCAACATGGGGTGTGAGAGAGAATAATGGAATAAAAATCAGAAATTACTTAATATGTAGAATAATATGAATTAAGTCAGATATAGTAGTAGCGGTGGATGCTGAATAAATTTTTTAAAAATGTTAGCAAGTGTAATAATAATCATGACAATGGTGAAATGTGAATAAGTGTAAGATATAAAAATGAACATTAATCAAATGTCTTTTTAAACCATGTTCCCAAAGTTTAGTTTTCCTCTTTGCCTCTTCATTTTCATTCTGTCTCTTGTTATTTCCATATCGTGCTAATCAATTATAGCGACCTGGGCCAACGCCTATTTGTTTCATTTTTGTTAATGTCTGTCTGTCTATTAAATAGACAACACCATGAAATTAAAGATTCAGACAAATGCTTGTTTGGAAATTTTGACTCATATTCGAGATTACATAACAATCAATCGTTGGTTTGCCATTTGTATATTTATTTCAGCACATGTTATTGTCTGAAAAAAATGTTCCGTACGTTTTAAATTATCATTGGCTTACATGAGCAGTTGTTCTACTCGGATCGATGTCAGAAACTGCAGATTTTTCATCATTTTTCGGTGATCTTTTTGTCTCATTATTAAATACCGACCCAACTTTATCGGTTCTATGTGCAAGTACACCCTTAACTTACCATTTGTTATTTTCACAGTAAACATCAACGAGTGGAAATAACATTGGTTTAGGGTTGTTTCTCTTATCAAGTTTTCAGACATTAAAGATGCTTTAGTGAAGAACATTTTCAATGACATCATTTACTAGGGCTGTACACTTGTATTTATAACTCTGCTAAGTGACGTCGAAAAAATTTCCTAGTTGAAACGCTGAAACCCAATGGTTTTTTTCACTGTTTCCAGACTTGATTATTCTCACAATGGATCCAAAGGTTAATAAAAAACGCAAAGTAATTTGTATGAAATTACAAATTTATGTCCGATAATTATTGTGAATCGGTCAATTGTTTATCGGATTATCTTGATAATTCTTTAGAAATTGTTACTCATGTATTCATGAACGCCGATGCAGATCATTTTGATACACAGCTAATTTCCAAGAATGGTTACATAGTGTTGCCCATTATTTTTTAGTTGTTCCAAATATGTTTGTAGCTATTACACGTCTGTTTCAGTCTCACAAGTACACATTCTCATTGGATTTTATTGACTTGTTTGCTTGTATGTCTCATTTATATCTTACCCTAAAAGTAAAATTACTTTTGTTTCCTCAAGGTACTAATCTTAAGTTGGCGGAGGTGGAACCATGTGAATTAGCTGCAATATTAGTAGCATGTGCTGAAAATCTATTGCATCGCGATGCGTCTACGTCATTCCTTGCATCTAAGGATAATCGCAAAACGAAACCCACAAAATTGTCGTGTCATCCTTTATCTCTTGTATGGTCAAACCTCCTTAGCAAGATTTTATGTGTGACACAGTTAACTTATTCCAAGTCCAAACTAGCATTATTATCAGCTGCTTTAATTTGGAGTCGTCATATTAGTCTGTCTGAATTTGGTGAGCCCTTACGTGGGGGTAAACATCATCCCTTGTTTTTACTCGTTCTACAACGGTTATCACAAATTGTTAGTGAAGATGGAAGTGACACAATTTGTATATCTGGAGCAGGATTGAATGACAGACGTTCCTTACTCATCCAATTATTTCAAGAGAGTGAATTGCAAATGAATCAAATGGTCCCAGGTTCGTTTTTCCTGTCAAATATATCCTTTTCAGTTAAATTTTTGTAACCTAAATTTTGTAAGGATTAGAACTATTACTGAAGAATACAGAGGCAGCTACAGTGTATGTTCTGTGTGCTACCATTCAGGATATAAATTTACGGAAGCCACTGTACACTACCGCCAGGATGCATATGAATTAAATGTTTTCGGACTTGAACACCTTATTCTACGTCATTTTATGTTTATAAATGTTCAACGTATATTTCTGATAATAACATTTACTTTTATTACACTTATATTTTATCTATAGAAGGGAGTCAAACAAACGAAGCTTTGTTGTCCTTGCTAGAAGAACGTAATTTAGATTTTCTCGTCCCAAGCTTACGATTGTCGACGGAACTATTTCACCTTATTATGGATACTTCATCCTTAGAAGGGAAATGTCCAGAAGAGTCTGACAAAATCACAGCTTCTAAATTCAACGATTACCTTTCAAACCATCCAATTGATGACAGGATACGAGCATCAGACTACATTCATGCTTGCTTGCCAGTCATTTATGAATATATTCATAAAGTAGGAATTGTTGACCTTGGCAGTTTGTCTTCACCCCCCACTTTAATGGCTAGAGAAAAAGCTGCGTGGGAGTGCATAGTACCTCGTGTGCTTATCGAAGTTTTACGGAGCTCAACAGACCGACAATTGGATGCTCTTCATGACCTACAGTTCTTCTGGGTTGATAAAAATATGCCTAAAGGTCAGTATACTTCAAAATTATGTTATCCAGTAAATCATTTTTATATCAGTTGGTGGTAAAAATTTTCATATGTGTTTGAGTTTTATCATAATAAACTTCATCGAATAATTGAAAACGCTTATTTTGCTTTTATATGGGTTCCTTTCCTGTCATCTTTCACCTTCTCTTTCCTAATCTTAATGTATTTTACTTATTATTAAAATTTGTAAAGTTTGCAGTCATTTTTAGATTTAATTCATTGAACATAGGATGGTAATGCTTACTCTATACTACATAATTTTATGTTTTTTGATGACTTATGAATGTTGTCAATTTGATATTGAAAAATTACAGGTGTTAAAATTCTTTATTGATGAGAGCATTACAGAAGACAACGTGAAGGTTCAGAAGAGTATTTAGTAGAAACATTCAATCACTTGATAGAGTTTCAAACTATAACTGGATAACTTGACCATACGTTATATATCTGTAGTCGTTTCTAGGATTTTATCAGAAATGACACATTCTCACGTCAATGAATCGAAAACTTTTCAGTCACATAGAATGTCTTGTTAGTTCCTTATTTTTAAGTTAAATGCGAGTTTTCTTAAATAGCTGCAGTAGATGGTGTATGAAATTTCTTTGAGGCTATAATGGATAGGACTTACATGGTTTACAAATTTATAATCAAATAACCATCCATTTTTGTCGACATTATCTACGACATTTTGGTCTAAAAGGTACGGTCAGTGGGATCTCCCTATTTACACTCTTCCTAATATGAAGTCATCTACCTGATTTTTATAATCATCATGATTCGTAACTTTTAGTTTCACTTATCCTTGTTCTTTTGTTAAGAATCACCGTAAATTGTAGGAACATGTTTCTAGAAAGTACACTTCGCATGGATCTCGTGTGATTATGAGGTGCTAATTTTCGCTGACAACACTAACAATAATTTGTTTTCACCAATCACTCACTAAGATGATCACAATGATTGTTGGTGTAGCAAGAATTTCCTAGAGATAACTTCCACACAGCCTGGAATAACCTTAGGTTTCTTGAAAATTCAGTCTTTGACGGATTACTGTGATGTTTATATTCGCCCTTATTCATATTGGGAGATGTGATCATGTGCTTTTCGTATCGTATAATGTTGCTTGATTTGGATTCTTTTTCTTAAAACTCAGATAATAACTAGTCACCCAAAACTTACGATAAGGGAAGTTAATTGTCCTTCTTCAAGCCTCTTGACAAACAGCACTATCTACCTTTGGGAGTATTTCCATTGCTCATAGTTTCCAGTTTAATTCAATTCGCTCTACATTTTTGACTTCACTCGATTGGCATCCACTAGTCGTTTCGTAATAAAAGTCTTGAAAATAAGTGAACTCCATAGAAACAATTAATTTTCTCTTCTTTTGAGTGGTGGCTTAGTGGTTAAGGTGTTCAACCTTTAGGTTTGCCCACCTCGGTTTGACCAACCGGGTAATATCATTAGTCCTCAAACTTAGCGTGTGACTTATACTCAAGTACCTGGCGAGTTAGTTAATTTCCATTCTTTGTTTTTAAATTATCTTCGTCGGTAGTCCGTGACTAGATCGTTTATTCCTGTTATCAATCAAATAAGGACCAAACTGTTTTGGTGTCTATTCGATGTACGAAATTTCTAATTTGCACTTAACATTTCGAAACTAATCTCTTAAAAAACTGCGTTATTGTAAAAAAAGAAACTAATGGATTATTTGCTCAGTTCAAGTTTCTAGTTAATAATAATTCTCCAATAATTTTATATTAATTAGCTTTCGAGTTAAAGGAATATGTCGTAAAAAATGCTTTGTCTAAAAATGAGTCTTGTCAGCACTAAAGTAATAGTCGTTTCATCTTTTATTACAGGGTTCTTGTTTCGTTGTTTTATGAACCTTTATAATTGTGAGCTTGTATGTGAAGATGCATTTCTATCGTGGAAAGAAGAAGTGAATCCCAGTTATCCTGCTAAAGGTCAAGCACTATTTGAGGTACACTGTTTGTCATGTTAATTTGATATTTTATGGTGGTTAATCAGTGACTTATTATACATTGTGGAATCTAGTTTATATATACATCAGTTCAAGGTGCCACATTATATCAAGAAAACTGTGATATCAAAATATTAAGAATAGTGACATTATCAGTTGTAGTAGAAAGAGTGGGCATATGTATGATTCAAGAAGAAAATATGAATTTGTGGGATGCAACCGTTGGTGATTCATGTTACTCAACGTCTCCAACCATTTATCACAAGGTGGCTTACGTTTACAAACATGACACAAACCAACAGTTACTAACTTATGCCATTACTTGCTTTAAAGGTCACTAGTTTGTTTTCCAACCTGTTTCTACCCCAACCAACGTCGCGCGTCGAATTAAGTGGTGTTTCTGCGGACGCAATACGTATCCCATTCACTGCAGTTGATAAGAATTGACAGTCCCATCAAATAATTTTCCATCTTTGTTTAGCATAACGCTTTACAGCCATTAAGTAAAACACAGTAAACTTCTGAACAGCATACTCCCTCGTCGTCGACAGACGAAGATCTCGCCTACACAACTAATGATGCGAGTTGGCAAACCCAAGCAAGCTGTTTGAATACTAGCCAAGATGAGTAAATTGGTCGATGCAATCACCTATTTCATTCCATTTGACCAATCCAGACAACGCGGATCCGTCCTGAATCAGCGTTTTCTATTCAGAAGAGGGGAAACATCCCAAACATTCATTGTTGCTCAAAGGTGATCAGAAAACTTCCTATCATCTCTCGATTCACTAGTTGTTTTCGTTCATCATTTCTTCGTTCCTATAGAACTTTGAGTTCAATATCCATACTCTGAACTGCAATTTTGGTGTATGTTTATTTGTCTGTTGCACATACCATTATGGTGTTAATTCGCTTCCCTTTTTGCTCTTACCCATTCTCTGGTTTATACATGTAGAGAATCTTTCTTACCAACAGAAAAGGTTGACAGCCGGTGACCGCCAAAATCTAAGCAAAAATTCACTATTAGCATATTATTTTTATTTGATAATTTAGAAGTCACCTGTTTGTTTCATTGCTTCGGTTTTGTATGTTTGTTACCTTGATATCCTAGTTCCTATTAGGGTACGCAAAATATTTTATGAATTCTCTCTTGTTGATTATTTCATCGCAGTGACTTTTGTTTTCAGGTCAATCGCTGGTTAACCTGGTTAGAAACAGCAGAGGAAGAAGACGAAGAAGACCGATGTAAATCTGATTCAAATGGGGATCATGCAAAGATAGTTCAAGAAAGTTCAGTGGATTCGGAAAACTCAGAAGCTTCTAAATCTCCCAACCATTTTATTGATATTGAGTCTCACAATATGCCGACATCCCTGCATCCCAATTCAGCAGCTTTGCGTTCCTGAATAACCCCTTTAGTTTCTGAACTTGATATCAGTTTTGTGTTGATATCATTATGATGCCTGTAAACCCTAGATTGTATGTCTTGCATGGAAAATCGGTTTTGAAACCTCGTCTTTACCAAAACAATTTTGTGGACCTTCAATCACATTGGGCTTCAATTTTCCTTATTATACTATTTTCAAAAATCCTGACTTTCATTTTACTTCCTGACACTTGGTTACCTAAGTGCAAGATTGTCTCGTTTATGTAACCATTATTCATGACTTATGGTGAATGGGTTGCTCTTTAATGTCAGCAGTTGTGAAGTGGCACTCGTAAATGTGTCTAAAAATTTGTTACAAGAGTCGACATCCAGCTACCGTGTTTTATCAACATTTAATCTCGTTTACTTAATTTTTGTTACCACTGATCCATGTAAACTACAGTATCATATACTCGCCAATTGCATCGTAAGTTGCATTTCATTGTAACTTCAAGTTTAAGCTTATGTAGTTACACTTCAAATATTTGTATGTGGGCGATGGAAATTATTTCGATATGGGCGATTGAGATCAGTCGTTCTAACTTTTCCTCTAGATAGCCAATATTTTCAGTAATACTAGATTCTTACTCAGCATGACAGGTGTCATCAGATATAAAATTACTATTTGGTACACAGTTATTATCTGTCGTGAAGAATAATACTACATTTATTGTTGATTGGTCATACATGCATGAGCATTGCAATTATGCATAAGGGCATAGAAGCAGATTTAAATAGGGCTGGATTTTTAGAGTCGTGGGTTTGTATTTGTTCCATGAGAATAGTTCATTAAAATTAGACCGTCCTGAATGATAAATCTTGTTTACCAAATAACCATAAACGTTATTTAAAAAATAACAGGTGAATATCTGTCTATCGTCAGTTAAAAACCATATTTTATCTTGCAAAAATTTAAAATCCGAGTCTTCAGCGCAACATATCGACATCTTTCTGTTGTTAGGTACTTCGATTAAATTTACTGTGAAGGAACTCATCTGACAATATATAAGGCTATTCTGTTTTATATTCATATTCTTTTTATCAGTAAATTAATCATTTCATTAGGCTTAAAGAAACAGTGACGCAAATGACTGGTAAAATAATATTTGTCTACTGTGAATTGATTGCAAAGTTCGAGAATTTCAATGAATTCAGCGGTATCCTTTATGAAGATGTTATTTTGGATATTGTGCCTTATGAAACACTTAAATCTCTTATAACACTAAGTCCAGTACTTTCATTTATAATGTCTATCGGACAGTTTTTGATAGTTTAACTTATGAGAATATGTGCGTAAGAACGCTTGCGAATTGAATAAGCTGGACAAAAACTAGGATTTTACGTACGAACTTTCACAGGTTCTGAAATTTGTCCCTTGGGATTCGTTCAGTGTTGCTTGTTTGATGAGTTTGTAGGTTCATTAGACCACGACTGGTTTCCTCAATGCGAACAAAGGAGCAGTCGACAAATTAGATAGAAATCGCTGAATGGTATAAATAATTCTTTGACTAGACTTCTGTACAAGCACTGGTGACATCATTTATGTGCCCTATGTTGGAAAATGAGCTTAGTTCTATGTCGCTTACAAAGCAATCTTATCTTAGTCTCGAACTCCGTTGTAGATGAGAAGTTTCATATTCACTTAAAATTCCAGGTTATTTCACTCCTAGCTGTTTACGCATTTTAAGTGATCTCTTGAAACTAAATGACAATGTATTTGAGGACTTGAATGTTTTTTCACCACCTGACCTATTTAATACTGGTGAATCACACTTGAACTCTTTCCAACTTAATATCACACCTATGTATGATATGATACTAATATTCGAATCGACTCGGACGCGTTCTGGAACCCAAGATCATATTTTGAGAAATTATCTTGTGAGAGTAATTAAATAAACTTCTATTCTCACTCTGACTAAATTAACAATTCACTTTCAGAATGGGGATTTGTAGAGATTGCAGTAATTTTAATAGTTGAGTTCATGAATCGATCTAATCTAGACCACCATCGAAAACGTGAAGGACGTTTGTTTCATCTTAGCGTGGGACACCTCAGCAGTTCTCATCCATCATGAGCTCATTAGTGACTAGCTTCGAGAGGTAATTCTCGAAGTTCTAGTGAGAAGCTGTGACCAGTGGAGTTGAATCCGTTATAACTTGTGGCCTGAGTGCCCTGTGAATGTATAACGTAACGATACCGCCAATCTGATAGCAGTGAATTATCGACCGGACCAATGACGCACAAAATACGTACTAACAGTCTAGAGTACTTATCAGTTTTGCTTCCTATCTAGCCCAGCCAGTTAAGTCCAGAACACTAATCTCAGCCTCTGCGATATGAATCATTTATTTCAAGCATACTGGGTTTATATACCAACCAGACAGACCACATCGTACCAAAAAAATATGAAACAAGATTTGGCCAAAAGAGGCTGTGAGTGTGGGAGACTGTAATTAATAGACAGGGCATAATTCAAGAATGGTAATCGTATAATAATAGTTCATAGGTCAAAATAAAGGTCATAATAAGAGGGACATGAATATGAATAGTTCAGTTAAGTAACAATTATACAATAAAAATTTGCTCATAGTATTATCCCACAAACGGATCCCAAAAATTACCATTCATTATGCTTATCGGGACAACAGAATCCGTGTGGGGTTTAAGATAGTTACCCATCGAGGACAATGGAAGATGGTCGCGCAATATCGTGAATTAGTTGAAGTTAGACGTTAACAGTGTTGGACGCCGTCTCAGTGGTCTAGATGTCAGGAGTCCTCTCGTGAGCCCAAAGGTCATGGGTTCGAGTCCCGTGTGTGAGGTCGTGGATGAGCACTTCAGGGGTGTCCCATACTAGGACGAAATGACAGTCCAGTGCCTTCAGGTTTTCAATGGTGGTCTAGATTAGATCGATTCATGAATTCAACTATTAAAATTACTACAATCTCTACAAATCCCCATTCTGAAAGTGAATTGTTAATTTAGATTAAATATTAATTACTCTTATAGGATCATTTCCATAATTTTACATGATACAATTTTAATTCTACGATCGACTCATGAATTCAACTATTAAAATTTCCATTTACTATTGTATCGCCCACCCACACTCATCTATTATCTCAATTTCTGCTCAGACAAACACAGCGGTTAATTCATGATAATATTTAAACAAGATTCCTGTTGCTTTTTACCACTTTTTATAAAGTCGTTGGTTTTAAGAATAATGCTTCAATAAAATCAATATGATCTTACCAACCTACTAGTGTTTTTCATATGCCTACTATCTTACGTCACGAAAGACCAATTTAGTTTGAATAACTATAAAATATTCGGGGATAATCTACTGAGAGCATATTTTTTTGTGACAAATTTCCAAGGAAATTAGTTGCGTAAAATGTTCATCTGTCATAATGAAAATATTCTTGAAGAAAAAGTAAATAGATTATTCCCAAAAATTAATATTCTCTATGTGTATTGATTTAAAACGGTGTAGAAATAATTCCACTATTGATATGAAACTTATAAAATCTTGACAATTATATTATTGTGCCATATGTTTCAAATAATTTGTTAAACTAAAATAATATTTTCAAGTTGATTACTTGTTAAGGTAGTGAAATTAATTTTCTGGGATGACGTCAAAGACTGAAATAGAAGATATAAATCCTATCCTCTTTAGAAATCCAAATCAATATTCTTATCGGTCTTTTATAGGCACAAGCAACTTAATTTTGCAATAAATAGCAGGATTAAAAGCAAAAGTTGACATAATTTAAAGTTCAAACAAAACCGATCAAAAGAACAAGGTCCACGAACAACTACATACGTGAAAAATAGTCTATGTTCAGTCGCAAATAATAATAATACAGATAAGAAAAATCAAGTGATTTTGTAAATAGATGATGTAATTACGATAAAATTAATTCAACGAGTGAATGTGTGTTAAGCGCTAAAGCTTTATCTACCAGGTGAATTTATTTCAAAACAGATATTACTAAGTCCTCAATGAAACTGCTGACCATTTTGTTTTTGTTTGTGTACTGCAAGAAAGCTCCTTTTAATTATCACCTGAACCTCTCCATATATAATTATGAGTCAATGAATACTATCTTTTCTTGTGGTTTGAACTTTAATTTTCTGTTTTTTTTTCGAACATTCATCTCAACTACAAATTAGTAGGTGTTTACTGACGGAAGGAATTATTCTAGTTTTATCTTTTTTAAGAGGTACGGATGCTTTTATTTTACGGCAATCGAATACTAGTACATAACCAGTATACATCTATGCTTAGGTATCTGTTTAATATCTGACAACAGTATGAAGTCAATAACACAAACCAGATAAGTGCTTAAAGTCCCACTGATACTATGCATTTTGATACTTCTGAGTATAGTTTCAGCATATGCACAAAGCTGAGTAGAAGAAAACATTTTAATGCAGATAATAATTTTTGTGTTCATATATCTGACCAACTTATGTCAAACAAGTTAACTTTACCTGAGTGTCAAAGTAATATACGGAAAAGTTGATATTGAGTACTTCTGGATTCATCTTTTGTACCTAGGACCATACAGATGTTTGTAAAGTATTTTGCACGAAGTTTGCAGAATTCTGTTCTAATGCGTATTTTTATTTGCTGATATAATTTCTAATTTCACAACAAGAGGATATTATAGACTAAGAAATTTTGAGACCGGTAACAGATCATTTTATGAAACGGTAAACCGGTATTTACACGAGAGGCTAAAACGATGCCTTGGGAAAATTTGTTTACAAAAAGCCAGTGAATTACAAAAAACACTGGTCGATGTAGAACCTTACATATATTCTTTATGGCGTCTCGACCGTTGTTGCTACATGGACGTGGTGGTCAACCTTGCATATCGTGATGAATCAATTGAGCTATACTGGCTGGAACAATCATTCCTCGAGGTCCTACCATGCCAGACAGATCGGTTGAAGAGCGGTAAGACTAAAAGCAACAAAACCAAGGTCTGAAGGCGAAGTCGTACTCCTGACTGTACAGAGGTGTGACGGCAGTAAGGTGTTTCCTTTTGACAACCAGCATAACTGCGGTGCTGCCTTCCCACAAGGAGGGAAGGGGTTAGAAAAGGTCGACCCTAAAAATGCACACCTCGCCTTATCCCACGGATATCCGTC